CTTAGAGGGCATTGAGCCAGATGGGCTCAGCACTGGCAGGGGCTGCCCCGTTCTGGCATTGTGGGGAAAGATGTGCTTGGAACCCTGCCAGCCGGGCAGAAGGCCCTCCGCCCCCTCGCAGAGCAACCTGGGGGCCCTCATGGACGCCCGTGGTTGTGAGGGGCTCACTCTGGCCTCCCTTCCCCGCTGCTGCTTTTGGAGATCCAGTGGCCAGGCTGGACGGAGGGCTTGGGGGCAGGGGACCCCTCATCCCAGAGCCCCAGGGCTGCAGGTGTCAGCAGGAGGGGTGGGCAGCACCAGAGCTGAAAGAATGCAGAAGCAAGTGGGTGGTGCTTTCCCCCAAAGCTAGAGGCGTACAGTAGCCATTCAGTCGACAGCTCTCTGGATCCCCTTTCCGAGGAGGAGTGAGCACGGAAGTGTTTGGTGAGGGCTTACTTACTAGATGGTGTCGAGGAGTAACAGTGTCTTCCAGTCCGGAGCCGACGCTGACCCCATCTCATCTGTTTCTGTCGCTGACCGCAGGCACCACACGGTCACTCGAGGCATCACCAAAGGCGTGAAGGAGGACTTCCGCCTGGCCATGGAGCGCCAGGTGTCCCGCTGCGGGGAGAACCTGATGGTGGTCCTGCACCGGTTCTGCATCAACGAGAAGATCTTGCTCCTGCAGATTCTGGCCTAGCGGCCGACACGGCCCTGCCCAAGGGCCTGCTCGGCCCGTGGCTTTTGGAAGGCACACAGTGTCACTCCGCTGTTACAGCTCTTAAAAACGGGGAAAACCGTCCGAGTTCTAACTCATTCTTTGCTCACACGTTGTTCCCAAGAGTCGGAGAAGCAGTTTCTATTTTTAAGAGTCATTTTTTATAATTTTTGTAAACAAAGTGACCTGTTTGTAAATAAAAGTCACCTTAAAAACCTGGATTTTAAGCAATTGTTTTCATTTTTATCCGCGTTTTTTGTTTTAGGTTTAGCTTGTTTTTAATTTTCAGTGTGGGTACCTTTTTCTTCTACTTTTCTAAGCACTTAGAAAAGAGCGCTACTAGAGTTGACCTGAGTAATGAGTGTTAATGTTACACATGTTAAATCAAACCTCTGCCTTCCAGGAGCCCAGACACCTGCAATTTTATCAGCATTTAATCACCAAAATAAGAACAAAAAACACCAGACTGCCGGTTTAATAAGTGTTTATTTCACACCTGCTACGTCCAAGGCAGTGTGTTTGGCGCCATGGAGAATATACAGGCGAACCGGACATTGTTCTCGCCCTAAGATCACAGCCCGGCGGAGGAAATGAGACATGTATACGGATAGCTTCTCAGGGCAGAAAGCGGTCAATGCCGGACCCACCTGTGATGAGAACCACGCGGAAGGTAAAGCCTTTGTTTTTTCCTATGAAAATAAGAGATTAGAGAAGACTCCTTAGGATTCAGGTGTTTAGATTAATACGTCAAATGTTATCTAAAAGAAAAATTAATCCCGGACGATTCTGAACAAAGTCAGAAGCAGGAAGCACGAGCTCTAGAAAGGAGGTGGCGGGTGCGGCGGGGTTGGAATAAAGGAGGTGGGGAAAGGTGGCTGGGAAGGCGTGCCAGGCTCCACTCCGCATGGTGACTGACATGTACCAAGCAGGGGTGTTCCCACCTCAGCGGGAAGGTTTAAAGAGGGGTGATGTGACCCAGGGTCTGCTTTATACAGTTCCACCTGGCGGCACCGAGTAGGTGACTTTATCTAAAACTGGTTCTGAGAGTGGGGACGAGAGGAGTGAGGCCTCCGCTGGAGTGGACATGGAGGGGAAGATGGAGGTCAAATTGAGAAGGCGTGGCCATGAGGGGTTACAGACGAAGGAAGGGCAGAGGAGGTGAGTGGAAAGACAATGACAGTTCTGTCCTAGAACCGGAATGATCCATTCAGAGAGCTTGGAAAATGAGTGTGGAGAAGTGGGTCTGGGGAGAAGCGGGAAGCTGATGAGCGTGGGATGCGGCGGACATCCAGCTAGGGGGTCCAGTGTGAGGAAAGTGGCATGAGAGTCCAGAAGAGGACAGTCCGGGAGTCATGTTTGACACCCGCTGAGGCACAGGAACAGGTTGAAATGGCACCCTCGCGACGGAAGGTGGTCTCGAGTACACCCTTACTGTCCCAGCTTCCTGAATGATGGAATGCTCACAGGCAACCTGCAGGTAGGAAGATGCATCATATGGAGCGTGCCGTTCCTCCTGAGAAACTCTCTCTCCAGCTTGTGAGGGCGAGCAGGACAGGTGCCTCCACTGTGGAGAGTCACTGATTTACTCCCATGAGAGTTTCATGTGTTTTTAACTGTTCTCAGTTAATGTGCAGAAGTAGTCTGAAATAAAATGGTTTTTTTCTGAGGATGTCAGAAAAGCCACTCATGAATCCTACTTCACCCAGGTTCGGGGCAAAAGGAAACCTGGGAGGTCATCTCCAGCCCCCTCATTTCACAGATGAGGACACGCAGGCCCAGGGAGACGCTCAACATCTTCCATGGTGACGGCCAGGCTGGGCCTACCCACAGGAGCAGTGTCCTGTCCTCCCCCAGTTAGATCCTCGACTACCCAGCTGCCCTCTCAATGGGCACGCGATTAGATGGATGGATGAGGAGAGATAAATAGATGGGCAGATGGACCTATAGATAGATCAGCAGATCATTCTAAGCAACAGTGGTTGGGACATACAGCCACACTTGAACATTTGTTTCCCCAGTGGGGAAGAGGAGACCGCGGCTTCTGATAGGCCTCATTTAGACCCATCGACGCCTTGCAAATCCAAGAGGAAATTGCTCTGGCTTTCTTGAACCATCAGCTGCACTTAGAGGCAACGTTTGAGACTATGTTAGTGGCACATCACACTCAATAAGCTCTACAGTCGGCCACAACAGAAACGACGGTGCTGTATGGAACTACTGTTTGCAAGAAAACCAGGCCGGCAGGGAGCGGACCTTAGATTGCCTTGTCCATCACAAAAGCAAGATGTCCAGGGTCATTCATTCCCTTTTGGAAAGTTAAATGACATCGTCTCCTTAAAATGAATCTCCAAGTACTTCCATTTATATAGAAGCTGGCGGGGAAAAGACACTGCTATTGCAGGCATGTCAGTGACAGCTGTAGGTGAAGCTCTGGTGCGCCATGTCACAGTATTGGAACTATACACCTTACTGACTTCAGAATGAATGATTCCCTTTAATAAGGGGGTCTCAAGACACCTCCCAGGCCCGCTCCAGTCTAGTGGTCAGATCTTCCAGAAGACCTTCTTTTTGTAGAGCACGTAGGCAATGAACACCCAGAGGGCGGTGGCGACAAGGTTCTGCGTTAGGTGCTCTCTGTGGGACTGGTTATCCCCCAGCTTCCACTGGAAGGGGAAGTAGTTCTGGAACACCTCGTGGCCCACGTACACCAGAATGGAATTCATGCCTGAAGGAGATAAAGGAGACAGGGTTTTCCTGAATCACAGCTCGTCATCCACCTTCATGTGTTTCATGAACGTAGATGTAGCATTTGTCCTTTCAGTAGGTTCTCTGAAGGCACACAGTGACTGATCCCGTTTAGCATGTTGTACAGCCATCACCACTACGTTTCCCAGTTTTCCCATCACCTTCATGGAAATGTCGCGCCCCCTAAGCAATGACTTGCCTGGTCACCACTAATGGCTTTGGTCCCTATACATTTGCCTATTCGAGATTTTCCGTAAAACTGGGATCATACAGTGTGTGTCCTTCTGTGACTGAGTTCAGTCATTCAACATCATGTTTTTAAGGTTCATCTGGCGTGTATGTAGAGATGACAATTTGTTCAAGCACTCATCTCTTGAAGGACATTTACTTAGGCTGGGTCCACCTGCAGGCTATTGGGAATAGGGGGTGCAATAGCATACAAGAAACCATCCGAGTCTCGGCTTTCAAATCTAGGAGTGGAACTGTGGAATTATAGGCTCGGTCAGTGTTTAAGAGTTTTAAGAATTGCCAAACTGCCCCAGAGACTGCAGCCTTCTTTATTGGGTTCCGATTACTTCACACCCTCCCTAATACTTGTTTCCGTGTGTTTGCTTGATCATTGCCATCCTAGTGGGGTGAAAGGATATCTCACTGGGCTTTTGATTTGTACTTCCCTGATTACTAGTGTCGTAATGGGTTCTGAGTTGAGCTGCTAACTGCAAGGTCAGCAGTACGAACCCACCAGCTGTTCTGAAGGAGAAAGATGAGGCTGTCTGCTTCTACACAGCTTTAAGGTCTCAGAAGGCTTAAGCAATGCTACTCTGTCCTATAGGGTCACTATGAGTTGGACTTGACAGCAGTGGGTTAATTATTAGTGAATATTTAATTCTTGGCATCTATTTCAGTAGAAATACACAAAGCATGTACCCACGGCTGGCTTCTACCTGAGAAATGATGCCTATCTTTGACTCTGAGGGAGCCCTGGTGGAGGAGGGCCTTAGCAAGGGGCTGACATGAGTCACTGAGATGATCTGGTCTACCCCTCAGTCTTCAAGTAGAACAGCACCTAAGCATTTCATTTACTTCTTGAGATCACCTCTGACAGTCCTTATAATGAACAATCACAATAGGAAAAGACAAGTGTGATCTAAGTGCGAGGCACTAGAGATCGTGCCCTGGCTGGTTTCTGATACACCCTACTTTGGTAGAGCCTGAACTAAATGTGAGACCATTGAAGGTCAGAAGTTGTCCTCAAACAGCACCACAACCTAGATGAGTACAAAGGAAGTGCACTGCGTCACAACAGACTGAGTGACACCCAGTGTGGTCTGCTCAGTCTGGTGCCTGCTGCTATGCCCTCTACCTTGGAAGAGGTCCCAGCTCCAAACATGGCCAACTTCTCTGGGCCAGTCCCACGTAGACAGCCAATGCGGATTCTCTTAGCAAGGTGAGGGGTGACGTACCTGGATAAAAGAACGGGGTTCCTGTCCACAGCCCCTTCACATCCACAATAGGATACAGGACCAGCAGGATGAAGAAGGCAAGGGAGCTCAGCGTGGTGACATACGAGAGGGACCTGGAGGAGCGGAACGAGGCGTCTCAGGGCACATTCCTGAGGACACAGCCAGCCAACGGCAACATCACAACGGAAATGACACCCTTTCTATACCCACCAGAGGTTTTTATTCACTGGGATAAAGCCTTCATTTTCAGAGGCTTTCGTCAAAGCGACAGAAGCAAGCCCCTGTTAACAGAAGAGACAGGAAAGATTTACATATTCTCTTAAAATAACAATCGTGTTTCAAGACAACAAAGTATTATTCATTTAAGTTCCTTGGGTTAGGCCGAAAATTGTGCCCCACGTATTTCACTTTTGTAAAAGTAGAAAAATATATTTTAAGATGTATCGTTAAAAATTGTTATAAAAACCCAAAACAACCTCTTCTGGCATGCCCATGAGGGAAGCAGATAAGCACACTGATAAACACAGTGGCCCGGAGGGAGATCATCAGTCAGCGTTACAAACGCTCCAGCCACATAGAAGGCTGGGACCTGGTGCCTGGACACTTGTTACCGCTGTTCCCTGTTCCAGGGGTCCTGCTGGATGGTGTGGGGGCAAGCACTGTGTCTTGTTTATAAAGGTGTTTCCCAGGGAAATAAATGGGCACATTTAGGTGTGAAGATTTGCTCCTCTCTGCCATCCAGACACAGCGTGTTAGCTGTGGAAATGGGGTGGGTGCTGCCAAGCTAGTGTCGCTGTGCGCTGTATTGATGCTGAAGCGTATATGCGGAAAGAAAGGGAACTTGAAAGAGAAATTCGGGTTACTTACTAGAATACAGAACCAGGCGGCAAACCTCATCAAGATGTCTTTGGTCTGATCCTTATAATACAACAGTATTTTTCCTGCCTAGAGGAGAAAATAATGTAACCAAAAGGATTGCCCAAAATACATCCTTATCTCAAATGTATCCCTATTTGTCTTACCCAACAAACAGCTATTTGCGCATGGACTGTACAGGTGAGTGGAGGACTCTCCCTGCCCCAGCTTAGAGTGGAGGCATGAAGCCATGGGACAGAGAGGGAGGAGGTGACGTGGAGTCAGGCTATGAACAGGGACAGCAGGTCTCAGGTGGCCACAGCGGGGAAGAGCATTTGGGGCAGAATGGAATAGCATGCACAGAATTTTTTTGTTTAAATGAGAGAAAGCACAGCGTCTCTGAGATGTTACAGGTGGAAGGTAGGGAAGGGCCTGGCAAAGGGGTGGACAGGTAGGCATGGTAGGCCTCCCTGAGGTGTTTGTTCTCCCAGTAGGTGACGGAGACTCACAGGCAAGGGGCCAGGTTAGACCACCTGGAGCAGTATGGAAAACAAACAGGGACGGGGGTGGGGGGGTGGCGGGTGAAGACAGAGTTCGCATAAAAACCCCTCCAAAATTAAAACTCATGAACATAAACTGCCCCGTGAGTTTACATGCCTGGAGGAAGAACAAGTCAGAACGGGAGGTGAAAGGCGTTACAACACTGGAAGTCTGTCATCCCTGTCAGGAACTGTAGCGATGCTGGGATCAGTGTAGGGTTTTACACAACCTAATAGCTAGAAACTGAACATTTACTTGACCTAAATGACACAAGAGGAGCCCTGGGCCCAGTGTAGGGTTTTACACAACCTAATAGCTAGAAACTGAACATTTACTTGACCTAAATGACACAAGAGGAGCCCTGGGCCCTGGTGGTGTGGCCAGGTGAGCACTGGGCTGCTCATGGCAAGGGCGGCGGTTCAAACCCACCAGCTGCTCTCTAGAAGAATGATGAGGCTTGCTTCCATCAAGATTTTTTTTTTGCATAGGAACTTTGTTTCTTTCTTTTTAATGGTAGCTTGAGCGAACATTGTCCTGTGAAGAGTTACCGCCTCGGAAACCCTACGTAGGGTCACTAGGAGTCAGAGTCAACTCGATAGCAGTGGGCTCCCAGGAAGAGGATCTACTTGCTTCTACTGTTGTCATAAACTCGCTGTGGCTTAGTGATGAATCACAAGTCACAAACATCCAGAGGGGGGAGAATGAAGTGAACACATACCTGGACGCCCCAAAATGCTATCACGATGGAATTGATGGTCCCCAGGATGCCTTCGGGGTCGTAGGCTACCTTGCTGTGGTACAGCACCTGAGAACGAGAGAGGGCGACACTAACGGTCACAAACCCGAAGCACACACAGCTCAGGCCCCGGGGGCTTACCCAGGCCAGTGCGCCACGCTGTGTGTTTTGGCTATGGAAGGTCATGCCCTCTTAGGAGAGTCCTGGGCAGAATCGGTCTGGCCAAGGGGTATGAGGACACATCAGAGTGGAACGCAGCGCCCCAGTGAGGAACCAGCTCCCGCAGCAGCCACCGCAACGCAGCCCGCCGACAACAGCACCGCACTCCTGGGCTCCCCGGTCATATCCCGAGCAAAGCGTACGTCACACGTCAGACGTCTGATCTCAGATTCCATCATTTTAGGCAACTCGGTTAAGACAGGAACAGGGTTCCTTCCTATCTGTGTTTACATCAAATGATGGCATTTACAAATGCCTGTGACCGCGTCCCCATGAGCGGTGGGTGGGCCAGTTCCAAAATGGACGGTGAGAACAGCCGCACACCATGACGCGGGGACCGGGGTCGCTGAACTTCACAAGTAGAAGTGTGGAAATTAACTGTTGTATTTTCGTCTCCATGAAAACAGACTTGTAAAAATAAAATTCACTTGAAGTTTTGATTGTAAATGAAGGCCATGCAGAAATTTGGGAATGCACGGAGTGGGTCCTCCAGGTCCGCTCCCATGCTCGGGACGACAGCGCCATCCGCTCCTCCGGGAGCTAGAGCGACCAGTACCCAGGAGCCCACAGCCAAGTCCATCTTGGGGATTTGTCCTGCTGCCCCCTCGGAGCCCAGCCCTGGTTGGGGCAGCCACATCCGGTCAGGACCCCACAGGCACCGACCCCGCGTCCCAGCTGGAGCTGCTCTGACAAGAAGCGTGAGTCCCCAGTCTGACCGCAGTGCAGCACCACGCCTGCCCGCACCAGGCCAGTGTCCAGGTATCAGTCCCCGCAGGGCTCCCCTGCCGCCCGGGAATGCAGACCTGAGACACGGAGGAAAGCGCTCTGCTACCCATTTTAGCAGCGTGCTCTCTCACTTTAAAAGGCCAAGTAGCATTTGCATACTGCCAAGCCGTGAGCCCTGGCATCACTGAAGTGAGCCAACTTCTCAAATAAGAATGAGTCCCCGTCCATCGTAGGCAGTTCTGGAGTGCCGTGCAGTGGTCAAAGGCTGCCCGCTCGTGTCCAGGACGGCTATTCAAGCACGTCGGTCACTGCCTGGGAGAGAGGCAGCAGTCTGCTTCCATAAAGATGGTAACCTAAGAGCCCCGGGGAGCACTTCTATGCTCTCGAGTCCAGTCCAAACCAACCGGCCAGCAACAGGCTGGCTGGGGTTGGGACAGTGCCAGTGGTTAAGGCATTAAACCCAACAGCCGCCTGGCCGCGAGCCTACACTGGGGCCTAGGAGGAAAGGCCTCCAGCCTGCCGCATGGGGCCCCGCAGAGCGCAGCGCGCCCCGCCCTGCACCCCCGGTCCCCACGAGCGAGTCCGCGGGCCAGCCGCAGTGGGCAGGGGCTCTGCTGGACTCCGTGGACACAGGCTGGAGTCGGTCTCCTTTTCCTCAAGCCAGCCCCACTCACCGCGGAAGAAGGATGCTGGTAGAGGTGGTCATCTCCCAGCAACACACGGTCAATGTAGCCCGCAGCTCCTCCGGTGCAATTGGGAAACTTCCCCCAATCTCCGATGCCGCCGGGGCCAAGGTAACCCCTAGGGAAGGGGGAAGACACGCCACTGCGTAAGACTGCAGAAGGGACAGCAGCGGGACCCACGATGGCGCCTGACAACATGAAACGTGGCCTGCACCTCGGTAACTGTTACAAGAAAATAAACTTTTTAACTGAAAAACACATGACACCTTAGGAGCTATTCTAGCTGAAGGAAGAAAGGGCTACTGGCTACTGGCACCTGATGCAGCTCAGCATAGCACCCCAGAGCTGTGGAACCCTAAAACTCTGCCCGGGCTCCCCGAGCTCTGCCCAGTGGGCTTTGACTTGGCCGCTCCCCACACCTTGACACTGACGGGCACTAACAAAACCCAAGCCCCCTAGAAACCTGTTCTCGATACACACCACTCCTCTCTCGATACGCAGTATGCTTCCAGGAGAAAGCAAATGAAGGGGCGCTCTGCTGACGGGTGCGTCTCTGTACCCAGACACCGACGTGGCAGAAAACGGCATGCTCAGGGACTCAGCTAGCCAGGGGTGCTCTGCACTAGGGTTGGGCAGATTTGAGACTTGAGGGAGATCAAAGGGGCAGCATTTACCCAAGGACAAAGTTCAGAAAGGTTAGGACAGAAGGAGGCATGGAAACAGGAAGCACCACAGGGCGGAAGTGAGAAAAGTGACATTACACCGAGAGTATTGCAACCAATGACATGAAACACAATGTGTAGGAATTGTCGAATGGAAAACTGATTTGCTCTGTAAATCTCCGTCTAATTCACAATAGAAAGTTAAACACACACACACATGCATGTGCATGTTAGGTCCTAACCAGGGTATCCATGAACGTGACTTTATTTGGAAATAGGGTCTTTGCAGATATCATCAGTTAACACAGGGTCACACGGGAGGAGGGTAAGCCCTAACCCACTATGATCAATGTCCTTTTAAGAAGAAAACAGACACAGTGACAGCGAGATACCGAGGGAAGAGGGTCATGTGACAAAGGAGGCAGAGCCTGGAGTCAGGTTGCCACAGCCTACGGAACAGCTGAAGCCACCAGAACCGGGAAAAGCCACCAAGGATCATCTGCAGTCTTCCCTGAACCGGGCCTTGTCGCCTCTGGAGCGTGAACCAACAACTGCCCACTGTTTTGTCACCCCACCCCACCCCACCCCATCAAGAGGACTACCTGGACAGGGTCACTTACGTAGGGCAACCAGGAACGGGCAAGAAGAATGTCAGGCACAGCCAAATGCTTTCCAGCATCAGAATGAAGAGCCACTGCGGCCAGCTGGTCACGATGTCCCGGAGGAAAGAACAGCTTCTTTCCTAAGGGAGGAGGGGGAGGAACAGACGTGAAGTGCAGGCAAACAGAATGGGAAACACACACAGTGTGCATTTGGGGAAATTCCCTGGACTCCTACCTCAGCACTCACAAGAAGAAGAATAGATAGATGCTTGTATGTGACGCTGTCTGGGTGCTCCCTCTATGAAACACCGCAGTAAAAACATTGGTGTGGACAATTCCACTCCTAAGTATATTACTCAAGAAAATGACAAGCCTATCAGGTGGTGTTGTGGTTACGAGTTGGGCTACAACCCACAACATCAGCAGTTCAAAACCACCAGCTGCTGTGGGAGAAAGACGGGGCTTTCTACTCCGATAGAGAGTTCCCGTCTCGGAAACC